AATGTTAGCTCTTTGACTGGTAAAGGGAGAGACTTGGCTGACAGGAGGGAGAGAATGGTGTACTACTGTAGATGGAGGAGAGTGCGAACTATTCTACAATGGATTGGATGGAAAAAAGAAACAGTTAGGGTCATTTTCAGTGAAAAGATTGTCAAAAGTGATTTAAGATAAAGAAAGTGTCTGATAGATGGTGACTCTCTCCCAGCGAAGGTTGGTAATGGCCATGATGTAGGCCATGGTCTCGGGATCTCACTCTTGTTCTACTGCTAGAGCCTTGTAGTTGACCCCAAGCTAGATGGAAGAGATCTCGATGCGTGAGAGAGAATCGGCAAAAGGATTCTGGGAGCCTGAGAGGTGTCATCGTGCAGCCCGTCTCGGCAATGGCTCAGAGTAGTCGTTGCTGCTGCTCTGACCATGCATCCCCTGACTTGGAAAGGGCGTTGACCAGGGGCTTGTGATCTGTGAAAATAGTGTAAGACGTACCCTCGAGCATGTGGCGGAAGTGTCACACAGCCAAGTGAACTGCCAGGAGCTCTCTGTCGAACGTGCTGTACATCCACTCAGGTGGTCGGAGCTTTCAGCTGAAGAATGCCAAGGGCTGTCGTCTGCCATGGACGTTTTGTTCCAGGACGGCTCCTACTGTAACTTTGCTGGTGTCTGTTGTGAGGTAGAGCTGGGCATTCGGGGCAGGCCGTGCTAAGATAGTAGCCCTGGCAAAGGCTGTTTTAGCAGCTGTGAAGGCTTTCTCTTGGTCATGGGCCCAGGCAAGCGATTTCTTGTTTCCGGCGACGGCCTCCTGTAGGGGGGCGAGAATGCTAGCAGCTCCGAGGATAAATCAGTGATAGTAGTTTATCATCCCTAGGAACTGCTGGACTCCCTTGACAGATGTTGGCGTAGGGAACTGGAGCACAGCGTCGATTTTATTGACCTGTGGTCGGCTGCTGGTGCCAAAAATGCATTTGTCCGGGCTCACTACCAGGCCATTTTGCTTCAGAAGGTGAACGATTGTTCAGACGTGCTGGTGGTGTTCCTGGTGGTCTCGTGAAGAAATGAGGATGTCGTCAGCGTAGACCACGCAGAATGGGAGCTTGCCAAAGATCTGGTCCATCATCCTCTGGAAGGTGGCATCGCTGTTCCTGATCCCAAAGGTGTAGTGGAATACGTAGCTTCCAAA